AATAGACATGCCAGGGTGTATGTATGCATGCAAGCTCATGGGGTCTTAACTCTAGACAGATAAGTACAGACAACTGAGTGATGCTGAGAGTAGGAGAGATAGCCTTCCATGGGGAAGAGCTCACCAATTGGCTACCAAATACTAAATTGTCAGCCCTGAAAAATGCATGCATACTGTTAAGTCCCAAACCCAGGACAAGTCTCACTCAGTATCTGATGCTCCTCCCAGCTCTCCCAGTATTACTCAGTACCTGTGGCTCCTCCCTGTACTTCTCACCCTGCCCCCTACCCTAAACCTCCCAGGATCAGGCTCCCCCCTTCCCCCATCCACCTCCACCCTGATCCCTACATAACAGAGCCATTTTGGCTAAGCTGGTCTCTTGGCCTCTTGGCTTGGGGCTGCCCCTTGGTTGTGGTGGCTCCTCTCTTGCTCTCCCTCCCTCTCTCCTTTCATGGTCCAGTTTAGTCTGCCAGCCATATTCAGCCTGAACTCTTTCCTCTGCCACTTTCTCACTTACATCTACAGTAAAAATCTTCTCCATACTTAAGGAGCAGCCATGTCCTTCTTTTATTTTTTTTTCATTCACATACAAATAACATTATATAGTCTGAGCAGGCTATATTTATGTATTTGTGACCACACACACATGTACACACACATATGCACACACATATGTACACATACATACACACACAAAGAAAAAGAGGTCATGAATTTGAAAGAAAGCAAAGGAGGGGTATGATTTGGAGGGAGAAAAGGGAAAGAGGAATTGATATAATTATATATTATAATCATAAAAATTATTTTTAAAACAATGCATATAACTGGCCCTGCAGCACACCCTCCAATCTCAGCACTCAAGAGGCAGGTAGATCCTGTGAGTTCCATGCCAGCCAAGGCTACATAGTAAAACCCCATCTCAAAATAAAAAAAAAATAAATAAATAAATGCATCTAGAATCCAGGTGTGATGGTATATACCTGTAATCCCAGTACCTCAGAAGAAGAGGCAGGAGGATCATAAGTTCAAGACCAACCTGGTCTACATATCAAGTTTCATGCCACCCAGGACTACACATCTACCTTAAATACAGAATACTAGGCTTATCGGACGGTTTTAAGTCCTTTCTTTGGGCTGGAGAAATGGCTAAGTAGTTAAGAGTCTTTACTGCACTTTCAGAGATCAAGTTTGTTCCCAGCATCCACACAGTGGCTTACAACCACTTGACTTGTGCTCCAGGAAATCTGCCGCCATCTTCTGGCCCCCATAGACTCCTGTATGCATATAATGCTTATAAACTCACACAAGTTTAGATATGCATGTGCATGCGCGTACACACACCCCAAATACACCTAACGAAGAGAACTTTCTGGATTTAATTTTACATTAGTAGAGAATTTGGGGCAGAAATGTAAAAAACCCAGCACTCAGAATAAGTTCAGAGATACCATGAGAATGAAGGAGACTGGAAGGTGAAGAAATAGCATGAAGAGAGGTCTGCAGGACACTGTGTGGCCACCACTACCCAGCATCTGTGTCTAGCCTCCACACAAGGATGAGGAATCAAGGCATACTTCCTCTAGTAGCAATGCTATAGGGAAGTCTAGGCCTTTCATTAGTTGACTGTGAGGCAGAATGAGAAAAACAAAAGCCAGGAGAAACTTGTGTCTAGGAGCCAAGGTTAGGGTGTTGGTAGAAAACAGGGTGAACCCCTGTTACTGGGGGGACTGGTGGGTGAGGAGAGGCCAAGGGCAACAGGTTGCTCCCAGTGCTACAGACCTGAAACTGGAAATGTTTGTTCCTACCTTCTCAAATTCTGGTTTGTGAATCACTTACACCAAAACGTATCATAAATGCACACTCTTTAGACATACCCCAGCTAACAGAACAATCAACTCATACTGAAGCCCAGCAGCCCATGCTTTAATAAGCTCTCAGATGGTCACCCTTGGGATCACCACTGTGAGAGCCAATGGGAAAGCAAGGCTGAGTAATAAACAGATCTCAGGGTACAAATTATTAAGCCAGGCTTACTGAGCTGTTTGCTGTTGTAGAGAACAATCTCACCACGGTGCTTAAAGTAAAAGTTAATTCTCTTCTGGAGGTCACAAATCTGAAAATCAAGCTGTTGGTGGGCTGCTTTCTTCTGCAGGTTCTCAAGTCCATTTTCCTGTTGCCCTAGCTGTGTGGACTGTCCTTATCTCTTGGCTCATGAACTTCCATCTTTTTCTTCAGGAGCAGGCAGCACCTCCAAACCTCTCATCTCCCCAGTGGCTCCTCCCCAGCTCTATTGCTTCCCACTTAGAAGGGCCTGGTCAGAAGAATTTTCCCATCTCAAAATCCTTAATCACACCAGTGATTTCCCCTAGAAGAGTAACAACAGTTAACTCCATGGCAGAGTGTGGGCATCTTTGTGAGGCTGCTATTATGGTCTACTATAGGGAGTCATGAAAATGTGCACTTTTCACTCGATTGTGTTCATGTAGGTAAACCCCATGTTAGTCAACTTTGCATTGCTGTGAGACACCCAAGATTAACACTTTGGCTGATGGTCCAGAGGCACTTGGTTTTGTTGCTTTGGGCCTGTGTTGAAAGCTGCTTACCTCACTGAGGGCTAGAAACACACAGAAGGTACCTCGGCCCCAGCAAACTCTTCAGAGGTATGTCCCCATGAGTTACTTCTTCCCACAGTGCCTCTCCTCCTTTGTTTCCAAAATTTACTTTTTATATTATTTCCAGCTTTGCCCCAGGCAAATCAATGGCCTGTTATGCAATGTGAACACACACACAAAGGAAAACAAAGGGAGTGAGACTGTGGCACTGTTACGTTTCTTCATGCCACGTCAGTGAGTGATACCCTGGAGCAAAATCATTTTAGTGTGGCTTGGGTAGTAAGGCAAGAAGAAACAGAACTTGGCCTGGATAAGAATGAGCAAGTCAACAGATGAGGTGCCAAACTCAACCTCTGGAGGTGTATTAAGAGTGCACAAAATTACATGCCGTCTTCTTAAATGGGAATACATAGGAGGGCTATCTGTTTTGAACAAACAAAAGTGTGTCACACAGAGCAAACAGATCCAAGTGTGAACATGCTTTCCATTTTTCATGTGCAAGTCTGTGATTATTGTTCATTCCAGGCAATCTGGCCTTTTCAGAGGCAGCTGGGTTCACTAATCACTGGCAGCATAATCACTAAGTACATAATACATCATTATGCCTGGCTTGTGTTTGAGGGAGGGTTAAGGAGATAAAGCAAGATATGGGCCTGCGCCCCCCCCCCCAGAAACAGCCAAGTAGAGATCACTGATAAACAGACACCTAGAAATGTAAGTTCTACAACAAAGGTGTAAGGAAAGACTCATTGTAGATGTCACTGATTCTTGGAGAGTCACAGAAAGCAAAAGAGAACGCTGTTTAAATAACATTGTCTTGGATATAAGAGTTTGCACTGGGGAATAACCACCTAACCCAAGGCACAAAAGAGTTTGTGGTAGGAAGTATACAGATAATCTGAACAAACAGTCAAGGTATCAGGATGGGACACATTTTCTGATTGGGAGAGAAGTATCTAGGCAGAGAAGGAAGGCAAGTCTGGCTTACCAAAACCCCTGCTGGGATGTGTGCATCTAGTTCTTTTGTAGACCATAGGAGACCTTGAAGGAAGCTGTGTTCCTAGCTCAGGTCTCCGTTAGGGGTGTAACTTCATGGGTACTGCAGAGGGAGCCTTCGGTAAACTGATCAACCTGATAGGCAGTTCTTCAGGAGGCTTCAACAAACTGCACACACTGCCCTGATGCTTGGCTGCTAGTCTTTCCTCTGTCTCGGTTCCTCAGGCCTGCAAGGTTCTGTGTTAAATAATTATCACAATACTTCTGTGGATTGAGGCAGTTACCTTGCTAAGAGCTTATTTTATTTATCCTTTAAGCAGATAGGAAAGGTGGCATCGTCCTTTCACCTCATTTCACATCTTCCAGTCATCTACAATGCTAGCAATGCTCAGGATTTTACACACAATGGGAACTGTCTATAAAACACAATTGTGCTTGAGAAATTCAATATTCCCCAAATCATTTCAGCGATTCAACATTCAAAGTGAAATAACTACAGAACACTTCATTAAACTTGTTTTTAAAAAAATGGTTTATTTGTTATAAAACATTAAATACTAAAGCTAAAAACATATAAATTCAGGTCAGGCTATATTAAAATACATACATACCCTTTGCAAAATCTGATTAAAAGTTGAATTAAACAGATGCTTTAAATAAAATAAAGTAATTTTGAAGACATTTTAAACCTAATTGGCTATATCAGTGTAGTGTTATTTGTAAAATTACAGTTGAAAAGTTTGGCTCTCTTGGAAGTCAAATTCATCTGATTCCTCAGTCTTCCAGTATTCAGTATGAAGCCCAAGTATGGCTTGTACAGGGGTGGGCTTCAGTCACTGTGCCAGTGCTCTCTATTAGAAATCTAGTCCCCTGTAGTAGGACTGGGAGGAAGTAGCCAGCAGCATACAAAGAATGCACAATAGGATGCAAACCTGGCCCTGAAAGAAGGGGCCTTAGTTCTACTACACAGTATGCTCTCTAACTAAGATACTTGGTAAATATATTGAAGCAGAAATTTTGCAACAAAGCATAAAGTCATCTAGAAATAATCCTTTGATTAGAAAACAACCCTCAAAACCAACACTAATTTAGCCATGATCATTTTAAGTATTTGAAAATTTTCACCACTTCCAGATGAGTAGATTCAACAGTGCTGAGGGGTCTGTATTCAAATGTGCTTAAGTACGCATTTATATTCTGACACACAGCTGCCCCAGTCACTCTCACAGGTAGTGAAGAACTTCCACAATAAACACTCTAGACCACCCATTTCCAAACTCAGCTCCTACTCAGGAGAAACACCCTAGAGGAACCAGTTATGATCTATTTAAATGTTAAAATACTATTTCCAGGAAAATGTTTTGTTTTTCAACTCCTATTTTTCAATTTCCTAAAAGTTTGGAATTTTAAATGCTGTGATTAGCACAGAGGGTGAGCATATGCTTCTGAGTATCAAAAGGCTACCATGTGATCTAAAATTGCAAAGGAACTTCTAGGTATTGCTATATTCTGTTCTTTACAATGCTAAGCCACCAAATGGGATGTGCCAATAGTTGAATAATTCAAGTGATTAAAATACAAAACCAAAATTCATTCCAATAATCTTCACTGACACAGCACAATTAATATGAGCTTTCTTGGGATTCTAGCTAAAAGAATTCTTTCCCATTATTTTGACAGTACTGGTACACACAAAAGGGCTTTTTGCATGTAATCCTAACACTACAGGAAAGACTGTTGAATCAAACTTTTGAAAAGTTGGAGAAAATATGCATATTAAAATCACTGGAAATTAGAAAAGTATATCCCAGTACTAAATTCCAGATGCCCACGATGCTAACACTAAACAGTGATAGGCTTTTTCCTTGCCTAAGCTTTTGTGCATCCTGCAGAATCATTTCTGCCAACATGTGATATGAAATAACTAACTCAGCTTTCCCAGCCAACTGTCTCTACATCTAGCAGGTCTTTGATTTACATCCTTTCTTTTACCTTCCTAGGTGGCTTTGATATTTCACACCAGATATCCTTTCAGTCCTTGGAAAGAAGTCAATTCAAGCCACCGACATCCTAATCTTAACAGATAAAGTTAAATGAAAGAACTCTTAAGCTTTTGTAGCCAAGTCTCTACAAAGCATCTTTCCCTGTGATTGTCTTTGTAACTGTGTATTATAGTCAGGCTACTCAGTCACTCCTATCAACTTCCTGGCTTCACATATTGATCAAGTTTTTGCTCTTCCGGGATAGAGCCAGAAGTGAGCTAGTGTCCCAAAGCCAAGAAAAAGCATTTCTTACTGTCAGGAGAGGTCACTGTGGAGGCTAGGTACAAGCCTCCCCAAAGGAGGGAATCTCCACTCTGCTCTCCTGGCATCTGCAACTCTTCTGTTTCTCACTCTTAGGAGTGAAGTTTGAATAAGAAAAAAGCATTTTCAGCCAGGCAGGGTGGCAGCACTCCAGAGGCAATGGCAGGCAGATTTCTGTAGGTTCAAGGCTGGCCTAGTCTACAACGTGAGTTCAAGGACAGCCAGGGCTGTTGTACAGCGAAACCCTGTCTGGAAAAGAAAGAAGGAACGAAGGAAGGAAGGAAGGAAGGAAGGAAGGAAGGAAGGAAAGAAACTGCATCTTCCCTGATAGGAAATATATATAATTTTGGGAAGCCAGTGCAAAGTAAAAATATGAGGCCCTTCTCCAAACATTTGTAAGAATTTAACAGCTGTACTAGCAGAGCACTAAACCAAGTGCCAGACCTTTCTAAGTGTGGGAGCCTGCAGAATCCAGAAGGTTCCATGGAAGTAACTACTATCCCTGATTAGGTTTGTGGCTGATTAACGAGCAGATGCGGTTAGATAGTCCAGATGCAGCAGTTGTTCCTCATTATATTGATTGATTGATTCAAACACTTTTACTGGACTGGAACCAACTGGTATATAACTGTTACATGGCAAATTTCTATTCCCACAACTTCATGCCCCACTGGTTAGCACTCCCCCGAATTCCAGTTACACCTGGCTTTTGAATGGCCCTTATTTTAGCAGAGCAATCAGTCAGACATAATGAAATTTTTGTATGTAGCCTAGATGATTTTTTTTCAAAAAATTAAACATCTCTTAACTACCAGAGGTCTTAGTGTTATTAGAGCAATGGGGCAACCTAGAGGAGAAGCCACTGTCCAACAGTCTTACATTCTAGGGGAAGCACTGAAGTCTGTAGACTGTGCTTCCTTTTAAGACTGCCACAGTCCTTCAAAGATAGGCAATAAGAAGCTGTATGGTGACTTTTTAAAATACCATACCGATTTAGTTATAAGAATTTTACTGGAACCCAGAGGTACCCATTCTTCATAATAATAAAAAAGTGTATGTATACAAAAGCGCAGGTCACATGACTAAACAGCGGCATTTCCGAGAGTGGATATACTTCCTATACTCCGCCAGCTGCTTCAGGTACATGTTTGATGGCCATCTGTGCTTCTCAACAAAACTTCGTTCTTCCACTAAAATTTTAAGGAGAAAAAAGTTAATTGCATATGCCTTATTTTTTGTCAGGATAAAATACAAATGTTTGACCACTATGTGACAGAGCAGTTCACTCTGTTATATTCCACATCCTTCCCATAACCTTCCAGAATCACTTAGAATTTGGATAAAAGAAGCCATCAGGATTTATACTACTATGCAATTTATGATGACATGCACTGTTCCACCAAGTAGTACTTGACTTCTTTGAATAAAACTTTTGTTTTTACTGGAGATAACAAATTCATTTTTTTCTTTGTGGATAACTTGACCTTTCAAACTCTATAAGGTCTTCCTGACTCAACTTCCCATCCAGTGACAGTCACCAGCTGAACTATTGATTCCCGATGTTATTACCTATGCTCCAGTGTCTGCCATATTGTAAGTTCCTGGGCTTCAGGCTTGCTCCTCTAGCCTCCCTGTACACTGTGCACTCTGGACCCACTTTCATAGAAACCTGCATTGCAGTCCAGGCCCTTACCCTAAGCTTAGCTACACACAGAGTCTACAAATCTATGATTCGTTGGGCTAGGATTCTCTGCCTTCCCATTTCCTGTAAAGTTGCCTCCACTAATTGGAGGGAGGTCTACCAAAGCTCTTTAGTCAACATTTATGAATCCCATTGTTGAGGGCCCAGGCTTCATCCTGCCTCCGACACGCCTAGTACTTTAAACACTTAAGGATTAGGGATCTCTTCCTTCCGTGTGCACTTGCATTTCATACTTATCTGGCTGTTTAACTTCATGGGCATGTGGGTTAACAAGATCCCTGTTACAGGAACTAAAAGACAGTTTTTAAAAAGCTACCTGCTCAGGGAGATCAGTTGTCTCACAAGGGAGCAAAGGTGACTGAGGTGATTTCCTAAAGACAGAACTCCAAACTGAGCATGGTAGCACACACCTTTAATCCCAGCACTTGGGAGGTAGAGGAAAGTAGATTTTTGTGAGTTTGAGGCCAGCCTGTTCAACACAGAGGATTCCAAGACAGCAAGGGTTACTGAGCAAGACCCTATCTCAAAAGAAAAAAATACAGAACTCCAGAAAAAAAGTGGTAACAGATGAGCTCTGGCATCCAGTAAAAACAGGAATCAAACAATTGCTTCAAAAAATAAAACATAATACTCAGCTAAATTAAACCAATCATGAGAAAAGGGAATCCACAAACACCAAGAGTCAAATTGTCCTGTGTGTTGCTGTTTGTATTCTTAAGAATCTCATGTGTACAAACCTAAGGCAGAAGGAGCTACTTAGCTGTGTTGGAAGGCTTGCCATAACATGAGATCTTTCCATCTTTACTTTCTGATTTCTAAATAACTTTAAAGAAGAAAAAATTCCCCAGGCACTTGGGAGTCAGAGGCCAGAAGGTTAGGAGTTCAAACCTTGGCTATAAAGCAAAGCATGAGTCAACCCAAGACACACAAACCCCGTTTTGAGAAGAAAAAAAAAAAAAGAAAAGGAATGTTGTCAAGAGAAAACAGTTGATAGGGTTCTAGCGATATTTGGAGTGCTTCAAAAGCTCACAGTGAACAGTTCCACAAGGAAGCTGTAAAGAGTATGGCAGAGACTTCCAAACCCAGCCAATGGGAAGGGGGCTAGGTACAAAGCTACCACTGAAAGGAGAGAAGACTCCAGCCCTTTGGAGAGACCATATCCCCTTTGCTGGGCAGCATATGTATCCTTTAGTGGGCAGCCACTACCTAGCTCCAGGCTTTCCCAGGAGGAAGGTAGACCCAGGGTATCTGGAGATATTAAATGCCCTGGAGATATTAAATGGAAGTCTATATAAAAAGTACTATATAAATGGTGGTTGAAAACATAAACCCAGATACTTGACTGGAGTCAGAGGTTGGCAGTTCATAACTACTGATTTAGTGTATTTCATAATTCTGTGATACCCAGAGGGTTTTTTCTTCTACTAAGCAGAACCATACCACAGGTGCCAAAGAGATGAACTCTGTTTCCACCCAAGCAAAAAACTGATCCCTGCCATGACACTCGTGTCTTATATGGCCCCTCAGAGGACATCCTGCAACTATGATTTGCATATTATACAGGCAATTGTATAAGTAATGGCTAATAACACTAATAACAGAAATTATCTATACAGCCTTTCTTGAAAGGCTGTAATTACACTCCAGGTAGATCATACATCCATATAAGAGTGGAGAGAAAATAATCTTATTCTTTGACAATGGTGGTTACCTAAGGTGATACAGTTACAGTAGCTGTAGTGCCAAAATGCAGCTCAATTAACATCTGAAGGAAACAGCCTAATGCCCTTCGTACCGGGTGCAAGCAGAGCACACCTTCTCTTTACGAATAAGCCCAGTTTTTTTTTTTTTTCTTGCAAAATGTAGAGAGTGAATGCTACCTGCCATTGACCTTGCTTTCACTGTATTATACTACTGCCTTAATAGCTGAGTGCCATGCTAGGGGACAGGCTGACAACAGGCACATTGTAAACTGGCTGAATCTGCCAAAAACATCTGTGAAAAACTAACTGAAAGAATCCTGGATTCCGTGTGTCCATGACAGTATGTGGAGCAGAAGGAGGCCAAGGGATTCTTTACGTCTTGTCATTGGCACTAAGACACGACACTGAAGACAAGAGGAGCCTGAGAGCTGTAGATTCAGCCTTTTCATTCTCTGTTCTAACCTCCCTGCGCTGACCTCACTCACCCCCTACTCTCTACATGCCACCCCAGAAGGCCCTCAGACATCTCCATGGAGAGCTCTGTCCGTGACTTGGCATTCTTTCACATCATTGTCCATTACTCACTTTTGTTCTGCACCAATGCTGTTCATCTGACTGCCTACTCTGAGGAATACTCCACCTTTATTTGCTTTCCTATCATTCAGTTCCAGGAATGTCACCGTGTGATTATTGGCTATTTGGCCAAGATTGGCCTTGGACTCAGGCTCTTATTGCCTTTGTCTTCCAAGTGCAGGATTATAAACTGCACCACCATGGCCCCTGCCTTCCAAGTGCAGGGATTATATATAAACTGCACCACCATGTCCTCTGCCTTCCAAGTGAAGAGATTATAAATTGTACTACCATGCCTGGCTGATTCATTTTAATCCTTATCATTCACCTTAAAAATCACAGTGTAATTACTCCCGGTTTGCAAGAAACATAATATTTGGTCCTATGAAGATATATACATACGGATTCTCTAAGTATTAAAGATGACAAATTATTAATAATAATATTTGTATTTGTATGAAAGGAAAAAAGTTTAAACATACCATACTGTTTAATTTTTCTCCTGACTAAGTAGCTAAAACTAAGGTCTTATCTATCACAGCCAAGTAGATCCTGAGGACACACTTTGCCACTCTAACTCTCCTACCAGAAAAAAAGACAATTAAAAATGAATGAGTACTATAAAATAATCATTAGAAAACTGTTCACGTAAGAAAGGTCAGACCACTTATGCAACACAAGTGATGGTAAGTCAACATGTCCTCAATTACACAGCAGGACTGAAAGGAAATGTATAATGTTACATTTATGCTGTTATGTTAAAGCAACGTTTTAAATTAATTATACCTCAAACCTCAAACAAAGGTCCTAACATTTTCTTTTCAAACCAGAAATCAGCAGTCTACCTGAAAGGTCTTGAAATTCTGGCTTTTGGCTGAATATGAGGTAGTTGGTGGCGATGAAATGAAGCAGCCAAGTTGAAAGGCAGTCAGAATGGTGAAACTGCAAGAAAGATGAAAAGGGAAACAATATTATACATCTGTTCTGATCAGGCTGAGACAATGGTCTAGAGAAACCCAGAGTCCACACCCTCGGGTATGTGTCTGTCATGCTGTAGTGTTTGGTAACTGTGGCCCCGGACAGGAGGGTGGAGCACTATCAACAAATACTGAGGAGGATAGCTCATCCAGCAAAAGAGTCAGGTCACCAGAACAGAGCTAGTATGCCAGAGCAACAGGGCTGCGCCTGCACCCAAGGAACACTGAGGTTCTTAATTCTTCAATGTAAACTTTTACTACACGGTCACAATTGTCACAAACCACACTCATATTTCAGTCAGTGCTGAGCATTTGCTCCTAGGATCACTGCCACATGGAGTTGGATTGTCTTCACAACTCTTGTACTGCTTCTTGAGTTCTTTGTAAATTTTGGAGATCAGCCCTCTGTTGGATGTGGGGTTGGTGAATATCTTTTCCCAGTCTGTGGGCTGCTGTTTTGTCTTCCTGATTGTGTCCTTTGCCTTACAGAAGCTTCTCAGTTTCAGGAGGTCCCATTTATCAATTGTTAATCTCCGTGTCTGTGCTACTGGTGTAATGTTCAGGAAGCAGTCTCCTGTACCAATTTCTTTTCTTTTTTTTCTTCTCTGTACCAATTTCTTCAAGGGTAGTCCCACTTTCTCTTCTAAGAGGTTCAGTGTGGCTGGATTTCTGTTGAGGTCTTTGATCCATTTGGACGTAAGTTTTGTGCATGGCGATAGTGAAGATACTTTCTTTATTCCATTGTATAACTTTAGCTTCTTTGTCAAAAATCAGGTGTTTGTAGGTATGTGGGTTAATATCAGGGTTTTCAATTCAATTCCATTGGTCTACCTGTCTATTTTTGTGCCAATACCAAAGCTGTTTTCAGGACTATAGCTCTACAATAGAGCTTGAAGTCAGGGATGGTGATGCCTCTAGAAGTTCCTTTATTGTACAGGGTTGTTTTGGCTATCCTGGGTCTTTTGTTTCTCCATATAAAGTTGAGTATTGTTCTTTTAAGGTCTCTGAAGAATTGTATTGGGATTTTGATGGGGATTGCATTTAATCTGTAGACTGCTTTTGGCAAAATTGCCATTGTTACTATGTTGATGCTACCTATCCAAGAGCATGGGAGATCTTTCCATTTTCTGATATCTTCTTTAATTTATTTCTTTAAAGACTCAAAGTTCTTGCTATACAGGTCTTCCACTTGTTTGGTTAGCATTCCCCCAAGATATTTTATGTTGTTTGTGGCTATTGTAAAGGGTGATGTTTCTCTGATTTCTTTCTCAGCCCATTTATCACCTGTATATGGTAGGGCTACTGATTTTTTTGAGTTAACTTTGTATCCTGCCACTTTACTGAAAGTGTTTATCAGTTGTAGGAGCTCCCTGGTAGAGTTTTTTGGGTCACATATGTAAACTATCATATCATCTGCAAATAGTGAAAGTTTGACTTCTTCTTTTCCAATTTGTATCCTCTTGATCTCCTTTTGTTGTCTTATTGCTCTAGCTAGAACTTCAAGTACAATATTGAAGAGATATGGAGAGAGTGGACAGCCTTGTCTAGATCCTGATTTTAGAGGAATCTCGTTGAGTTTCTCTCCATTTAGTTTGATGTCAGCACCAAATAATCCAATTAAAAAGTGGGGTACAGAAGTAAATAGAGAATTCTCAATAGAGGAATCTAAAATGGCTAAAAGACACTTAAGAAAGTGCTCAACATCCTTAGCCATCAGGGAAATGCAAATCAAAACAACTCTGAGATACCATCTTACTCCTGTCAGAATGGCTGAAATCAAGAACAAGCAGTCGTTGGTGGCTCATACTTTTAATCCCAGCACTCAGGAGGCAGAGGCAGGTGGATATTTGTGACTTCCAGGCCAGTCTGGTCTACAGAGTGAGTTCCAGGACAGCCTCCAAAACAATGCAGAGAAACCCTGTCTCGAAAAAACAAACAAACAAAAAAAACCAAAACAACAAAACAACAAAACAAAACAAAACAAAACAAAACACCAATGATAGTTTATGATGGAGAGGATGTGGAGAAAGAGGAACACTCCTCCACTGCCAGTGGGAGTACCAACTTGTATAGCCATTTTGGAAATCAGTATGGTGATTCCTTAGGAAAATGGGAATCAGATCCAGCAATTCCACTCTTAGGCATATACCCAAAAGAAGCACATTCATACAACAATCTGTTCAATGATGTTCACAGCAGCATTATTTGTAATAGCCAGAACCTGGAAGCAACCTAGATGCCCCTCAACTGAAGAATGGATAGAGAAAATGTGGTACAATTACACAATGGAGTTCTACTCAGCAGAAAAAAACAATGGAATCTTGAAATTTGCAGGCAAATGGATAGAACTAGAAGAAACCAGTCTGAGTGAGGCAACCCAGTCACAAAAAGACAAACATGGTATGGATTTTAGACATAGAGCAAAGGATTACCAGCCTACAATCCACACTGCCAGAGAGGCTAGGAAACAAGGAGGACTCTAAGAGAGACATTCATGTTCCCCTGGAGAAGGGGAAAGGGACAAGATCTCCTGAGCAAATTGGGAGCATGGTGGGGAGGGGAGAGGGAGCTAGGAGCATGAGAAGGGGCGAAGAGGAGGGGTGAAGAGGACCTGAGGGAGCAGGAAGGTTGAATCAGAGGAAGAATAGAGGAGAGCAAGATAAGAGATACCATAATAGAGGGAGCCATTATAGGTTTAAAAAAGAAATCAGGCACTAGGGAAATGTCTGGAGTTGTACAAGGATGACACCAACTAACCATCTAAGCAACAGAGGAGAGGCTACCTTAAATGCCCTCCCGTTAATGAGACTGATGACTAACTTATATGCCATCCTAGAGTCTTCATCCAGAAGCTGATGGAAGTAGAAGCAGATACCCACAGCTAAACACTGAACTGAACTGGAATCCAGTTACAGAGAGGGAGGAGTGATGAGCAAAGGGGTCAAGACCAGGCTGATGAAACCCACAGAAACAACTGGCCTGAACAAGAGGGAGCTTGTTCATGGTCCCCAAACTGATAGCTGGGAAACCAGCATTAGCACTGATCCAGACCCCATGTACCTGGGTGTCAGTGAGGAGGCCTCAGAAATCTATGGGGCTTCTTGTAGTAAATCAGTACTTATCTCTAGCATAGGAATGGACTTTGGGAGCCCATTCCACATAGAGGGATACTCCCTCAGCCTAGACATACAGGGGAGGGCATAGACCCTATCCCAAAGGATATGACAGACTCTGAAGACCCCCACCCCCAACCCCATGGAAGGCCTCACCCTCCCTGGGGAGCAGAAATGGTATGGGATAGGTAGGGTGTTATTGGGGTCACAGGAGGAAGGGAGGGAGAGGGAACTGGTATTGACATGTAAAACAATCGTGTTTCTAATTTAAATAAAAAGTGGGAAAAATTCTTCTACTGCGTTCCAAGAGCTGCTAATAGAGGGGGACTGAGAACACTCTGGGTTCTAACATAATCTCCTGGGGTCAACCCAGACATTCACTGGTCTAGCCAACCATCAATCTGGATTATAGTAACTTGATAATAGGCGACTTTGGTAGAGTTCTCTGTTACTGTCATTGCAGTATATACTTAGACTTACTATTTTATGTGGACAGTTTAGTGGCACTAAGTATATTCATATGGCTGTGCCTACAGTACCCTTATCCATTTCCAGATGATTCCATCATCCAAAATAAAACTTATATTTGTTTAATACAAATAACTCCCTTTAATTCCTGGGGGCCGTGGTTGTACTGTTTTACTTTCTGTCACTAGAAATCTAACTATAGTAGTACCTGATATAAGAGAAATCATATAATACTTGTCCTTCTTTATCATATTTCATTTAACATAGCTTCTTCCAAAGGTCATTCACATTGTTATTTATAGAAAAGCACCATTCCTTTGAAAGGCCGAATAACATTCCATGTACATATATGCAACATTAGGTTTATCCATCCCTCCCGGATGGTCTTCTAGGCTGTTTCTCTTTTAAGAACACTTAAAAATTACATAATGCTTATTGGAAAGAGTTTTAATTTCATATCTTACAGAACTAATCCAAGGATGAAACACCCAAATTTGTATTTTAAATTAAAATAACATTTTGACATATAGATTCACAGTTACCTATTCTTCTCAGTACACAGAAGTTGTGAACTGGAAGGGACTTCATAGTCAAATTTCATATCATATTTGGGTAATTTCTTCTCTATCTTTCAGCAGATGAAGACATGTCAAGGGATAAAGTAAGTGCCGAAAGCTATGTTAATGGAAGCTGCTAGACAACTGACTAGGATGTAGCCTAAGTGTTATGGCTTGGAAAGACGAGGGGGGGAAGCTGGCTATGACAACGAAAGAGAAAGCACCCCATTGTAAAATTAGGATTTTGACCTGGCATGGTGGCCTATGCCATTAACCCCAGCACTCAGGAAGCAGGGCAGGAGGTTGTCTTTGGTTTAAGGGCAGCCTGGTCTACATAGGAATTTTGAGGCCAAACAAGGATATAGAGTGAGACTCCGTTTCAAAAATCAAACCAACAACACAAAAACTAAAATTAGGACTTGAGAAATACATGTGCTATCCTATGATAAGGGTTTTAAACTGAAAAATAAATCAATAAAATAAGACAAAGGCTTTAAAAAAGATAAAGTCATTAAAAAAGGTAAACCAAATGCTATAGAACTAGAGGTATTAAATATGGGAGAAGTATCTAGAAGCTCACAAGAAAAGTCAGGAACTAAGTTCACACTCTAATGTAGCTAACAGAGCAAGGGTAGAAGTGAGGGACCACTGAAACTGGTCATCTCTAAGACACCAGTGATGTGGCACAGACAACAACAGAGTGACAGGAAATTGGGATATGGAGGAAGAACTTTTTTTGTTTGTTACTTTCTTTTTAACCTGAGTTTCTCCAGCCTTGAGGGATTCTTTGATCTCAGAAAGATGTAATCTTCCTTGCTAATTTTATCAGTTGTTTTCTTAACCCAAGTTCCCTGCATCTTGAGGGATTCTGTGATCCCAGAAAGAAATGTCTTCCTTGCTAAATGCTTGTCCCATTACTCAACTTTTCCACATAAGTGGTGCTCATGAACTGAAAGCGCTGGGCAGGCTGCTGGGTCTTCCTCCAACCGAGGCTCACAATCAACCTTGTCGTGGATGCCTTACTGCATGGACAGGCCCATCCCTCTAATGAGCACTAAAGTTCCCAGATCCCCAACTCTATCCAGGCGCCAGTTGTCCCGACCTACAGGACGGCAACCTGGGGCAAGAGAGTCAGGGATAGAGAATGGAGACAAGAGACGCAGAAAGAACGACAGTCCTATGTCTCCGACACTGCTGTCCAATGTCCCGATCAACACATTCTAAACTCCCCTGAAAATGACCTCGATGACACTGACTCAACAATTGGCTTGGCTGGCTTCACTCATATGGCAAAATAACCTCCTGTTACTGCTTTTTGCTCCCTTCTACCCGTTCCTACTACTTCCCCATGGTTAACCACCCTCCTCCCTTCCCTCCTTGGACCTTTGATAGGGCTCCTCTTATTATTTTCCTCCGGCCTTTGGGCTTTAATTGACTTGTGGCCTTTGTCAAGCAACAAGTGGACTCTGCCACTAAGCCTGTTCTGGTCCAATACTAACCCACTTCCCCACGGCCAGCTTCAGAGGTGCAGACCTGGATGGTACCGCAAGGAGACCTTGTCTTCTGAGGAATATGCCTGCGCACAATGGGGTCGATGTCCTAAAGCTTCCCC